ATATATATATATATATATATATATATATATAATACGGTTAACATGTGGCCAACTGTTCATATATAAAATAGATACTAGACCCCGACTCGAACCGACCAAAATGCTAGCAAGCACCAGCCTATTAGACTCGAGATTGACCCGCACTGTCCAACGCGTGCACCCAAACCGAGACCCAATTCGGGATGCCAGCCCTAGTTCTGTTGTGAACAGCACTCACACATTAATGAGTGTGATGGAGAAATATTTTTACAGCCAAAAAGTCCATGCCTCCAAACGGGGTTTCCATACAACGGTATTGTTTGGTTTCGCGGCCGTATGTATCTTGTTGCTGTTGTGGAGATACCTAATTAGGGAGCGACGCATCAAGTCTCTGGTAGACGACTTTGTCATATGCATGCATATTCATGTGAAACACAATTTCATATTTGTACGTTTATTTAATGCTATTCGTTATTTACCTAGTTTCTTTATAAGGCAACACCATTGCTGACCTCTCCTTTGAGCTGCCCATGTGGATGGAACGACATTCGCTTGGCGTGCCCGAGAGAGGTATGGATGATTCTTCCCCACAACCTTAACGCCCAAATATATATGATCGGGTCGATCCCAACGCGGACCTTATCCGACTAGGTCTAAATTAGACCTAGACTAGGTTTGGGTCGGGGCTAGGTATAGGTCAATTGGATTCGGACCTGACCCATTGGGTCAAGTCATATCGGGGTCTACAAGTAAAAAAATTTATAAAAGATTTATTTATGTATTTTATATTGCATAATTGTATTATTTATATGTAATTTGGGTTGAGCTAGCTTGACCTGAACCCGATCCGACCTGATAGGATTCAAGTTGGACCTGGACCCGGTGAGCTCAATGTTAGGTGGACCCAGACCCAACTCGGCCATGGTCGGGTCGAGCACTGCTTGCTTTTCATAAGTCTCTCTTTTTCACACTCTCTCACTCTTATTTATGCTTCTAACTCTCAACAATAAAAAAAGGGAAAAGTTTATATAAGGTTGCAACCTTAAAATGGAGAATCACATATGCACCTCAAAAATCTATCAAAATTGTTGTTTTAATGTTGAAAAAACCCTCTCTGTATAAGTATCAGTTAGCTTATTGGACACAAATCAACTGTTTGAATGGTGAACACTCATGACTAACGTTTTGAAACCTGAATTCACTGGCTTGGACGAGGCATCTGCGAAATTGATTTGGAGTGGTGAATCATTGATTCAAATTTGCGATCCTGCATATGAAATCGACCAATAAAAACAAAAGCGAAAATGATAACAATAAAATACAAATCATTGGAACTGGACAATTTCATGAGAATGAGTCTAATTCCCGATACTGACTAGGAACTAGGCAGATCCCAGTGATTCCTAATTTAATCGGCTAAATCCAATCCAGATCTATAGTTTTATATGGTTAATAGGGCTGCCAATGGTCCAGTTTGGGAATCAGGCTCTGGGGCTGGGGTGGAACTTCGGGCCATTTTCAGGCTTGTTAGGGCCAAATGTGGGCTTCAAGCTGGGGCAAGGGAGGGGTACGAAAGAGCAGACTTTACCGGCCAGCTCAAGCTTTTAATGGGTCAACTTGAAAAAAACCCAGAAGCCACCTCGCCCCTCACTCCCCCTGCCAGAAGTCTTCTACTCTCTCTCTCTCTTTGTGGAAACAAGAGAGTTGGGTCCCTCTGTCTCTTTGTAGGAACAAGAGTCTCTCTCTCTTTGTGGGAATAAGAGAAGTGGGTCTCTTTCACTCTTTTTCCTACATCTCTCTCTTTGTGGGAACAAGAGAAGTGGTCTCTCTCTCTCACTTTCGCATCTCTCCCTCTATCTTCCATCCGCCATTTGCTTGGCCCCACTATGCCATGGAATGGCGTCCCTAACATGTAAGACGACAAGAGAGATAGTAGACAAAGGAGAATTAAGGAGAGAAGGTGGTGAGATGGATGGTAGATAGAGAAGATAGAAACGAGAAGACGTGGTAAAGAGAAAATGAGAGTGGAGAATTAATTACCAAATGAGAAAATCATTTTCACATCATTAGTGGGCTTTCTCTACAATTGTGGAAAAAACACTAAGAGAGACAATAGGTTTTGGAGAGAGAGAGTTTGAGAAAAAAGACGTTTTAGAGAGAGAGAATGGATTCTTAGAGAGAGAGAGAAAGAAAGAGGGCTGATAATGTGAAAAAAACCTTATTCTTAAAGCTAGAAAGCGAATGGATTTTGAGAGGGGCGTGGGGCCAGGGGAATGAGGTAGGTGAGTGGCCACATGTCCCCACCCTTCTTCTCTTACCTTTCATTTATTGATGTCATTTTAGCCATTTAAGTTTTTCAAAAAAATATTTTAGCATAATTTTTTTTATAGATTTTTTTCTTTTTTTTGGTTTACAAAAAAAATGGTTGAAGAGAGATTAAAAAGGAAAAAATGGATTCCAATTGGGCCGGGTTGAGCTTATATTTGGACCAGCTCAGGCCCAGCCCCAAACACACTTCCGGCCCAGGTGCAGGCCAGGCTGGGCTTTAATAAAGCATTTTCAGGGCCAGGCTCTTGCCGGTCTGATAAAATTCAGGCTGCACTGAAGATTTTTGGGCTTTTACCGGGCCCTGCCCAACCCAAACCAAACCGGACCTTGTGGCAGCTACTACATATAGCAATGCAAAGAGGTGAGGTTTTGACCCTTATTGAATGTGATTTCCTTAAAAAATTTCATTCACCATATGCATTTGGACTTCATGATCTATGACTACCACCATTATCAATTCGACAAATATAGATTTTTGACATTAAAACATAAACCTATTTACCACCATTTAAAATTATATCTTCCTTCGGACCACTCCTCACCGTTCTTTTTTTGTTTCACGGGCCATCAAATCCATGCTGCTTAAGCGGATGTATCTGGGTAAAATAGGAGAGACAGGTCTATTATGGATTTTCAAATGGGTCCGCATTTGGGTACAAATGCATTTAAAACTTCTCCTTCTAGTAAAAACTGAAGAGAAAAGTCTATATGTGGTTGGGACCTTAAAATGTAGAATTAAGATACACATCAAAGATCCATTAGAAAACATGTAAATATATTCATATTAAAAAAAAAAAGAAAAAAAAAAGCAAATAAATATATTCATATTAAAAAAAAAAGAAAAAAAAAAAGTAAAAAAGGATTTTGGGTTTGAAGAATAGTGCATCTTGCAATACATTACCTAGACTGTACATTTTTTAAATTTTGATGTATTTATAGATCTATTTAATTTGAAATATTTTTAAAATTTAAAATTTTATAATTAAAAATAATGTAAATTTTCAAATCATCATAAAAATTTTGGGCAACAAAATTAAATCTCAAGACAAAATTTAAAAATGCGGCTTAATTTAATAATGTAGAGTTGCAACCTCTTAGGCCAACGAAAGCTCAATATCCGGAGGAGAGCGATGCGGGCAGGGCACTATCCCCATTTGATAATATAGACAGGGATAACTAGGGTAAGTTACAAAGAAAAGCCCTCTGTGAGTAGTGGGTCCCATGGACCGCCGCTCTTGCAAGAATCAAGCTGGAATCGTTGCAGGGTAATGACACGTGCGACTGGGGATAGAAGGTACTCTACAAGGAGGACCCAATAATAGGACTAGGAAAAGAGAAACCCTAGCTTTCAAGAAAACGAATCTGGTCACCCATGCTCGCTCTCTCTCATCCCTTTCTTCTTCCCCCACCATATCTATAAAAGCACAAAGAGAGAGCTGCAAAACACCGAGAGAAGGGAGAGATGAAAGGAGGAGAAGTAACAATGGATAGAGAAATTGAGGTCCCTAACCCCAACAATGGCCAGCCTTGCAAATCGGTGACGTTGGAAGTCCTGAAGGGTAAGATGGCTGATTTCGCAAAAGAGAGAGACTGGGACCAGTTTCACAGCCCTAGAAACCTTCTTTTGGCCCTCGTACGTTCACCTCTCTCTCTTTTCATCTCTAAAAACATGTTAAGAACCATGGAGTTTTTTTTTTGTGTTTTTTTCTTTAGGTTCATTTCTCTTTTATTTTCAGTCGAAGAGAATGTTTCTTTTGAGATTTTTTATCTTAAAAACTATATTATTTTCATGGCCAGAATGAGGTCAACTTTATTACATAAATAAGGTGTCATTTTATGCCTATTCATTATCAACACAAGGACTTGCTGTATTATTTTCCTTTCCCCCATCATAGTTATTTGAAATCCGAAGCACTTTTTTTACTTCTTTTTGCCTTAGGATGTTCATGTATCATCCGCTCTTTAGCTGCGCTCATGGCATTTCTTCTAAAACCCTTCTCTCCGGTATCTCGAAAAATTCGGCAGGTTTTCCCTTGGTGTTTCATATAGCCCATGAATCCACTCTTTTCCATGATCTATTTGTTTCTTCCTCACTCTGGTATCAATGATATGAATGAATCAGGTGGGTGAAGTTGGGGAGTTATCTGAGATATTTCAATGGAAGGGAGAGGTTCCAAAGGGATTACCAGACTGGAAAGAAGAAGATAAATTGCATTTGGGGGAGGAGCTCTCTGATGTTTTACTCTATCTTGTGAGGCTCGCTGATATTTGTGGCGTCGATCTCGGCAAAGCGGCACTGAGGAAGGTGGAACTCAACGCCATTAAGTACCCGGTCAAGCAATGCGACGGATATAACACTGCTGAACAAGACGAATAGATCAACACCAATCACACAGGTTTCTGGGCTTTTTTTTTCTTTTCTTTTTTTCTTGGTTTTGTCCCTTTTCCTTTTTCTTGTTTCTCTCTCTTACTTTTCTGTCTTATCTGTTTCTCTCTTAGTCTATGGTCGTGTCCTTGTTTCTCTCTCTTAGTACATCATGGTCTAATGGATATTGTGGTTATTGCATGAGAACAATTATGGGTGGCATCTTCTGACTTCTGGAAGGGAGAGAGAGAGATATTCTGAGTTCTGGTAGAGAGAGAGAGGAGGGCAGGAGCGAATCCTTGTAAGAGAGGCAAAATCTCTGTGGCTTTCAGCTTTTATCGCAACTTTTTCCTTCCTCTTTTTTTATTGATCGAGTTTCTCCCTCTTTTGTTTATTTTTTAGGGTTTGGGAGGTTTTAAATTTTTAGTATTTGAAAAAGTTTGCACTAGGTGGATATCTTAAAACGTGGAATTAAGGTGTGTCTCTCTAAAATCTTTTGAAAATACATCTCATTTTTATCATCTCGACATTGAGATGTATAGATATCGAGAAAAAACGATATTTTAAATCCGAAAAATAGTACATTTTACAATATTTTATTAGAAGGGATTGTATGATTTACCTATTGTACAATTGTTTATGACCATCCCATGTGAAATTTGATTGCTTGAGTGTTCAACGTTAGAAACATTTTTTTTTTAACTTTATATTTGGTCGATGGAATAAATGCAACCACATAATTTCACATCATCCAAAGCCCAAAGTCAAGATTTATTATGACCGTCTTGTTCAAAAGATGAATGGTGCCATTGTATACTTTTTCTTATTTAAATAGTTTATTTTCAAGATTTTTATATATTTATAGATTTGATTTGAACCACTTTTAAAAAAATTAATTTTATAATTAAAGGAAAAAAAAAAAATCGCACTTCACCTTAAAAATTTTCGACATCAAATTTACAAATCATGAAAAAATTTGTAGCGGGATACAATTAAAGTTGTAATCTTATACAGACTACACTCTTTAATAGTTTCGTCTGTTTTGTGAAACACGTGAGGATAACAAAGGCTCTTCCAAGTATAGTCACCTCTATTAATGTCATAACCCTATAATATTTTCATGCCTTTTTTGTGCATCGCATGGGGATAATAAAAGGTCTTCCAAGTTTAGTCACCTCTATTAAGTTTTGACCTTGTACAGACTGCAACCTTTAATATTTTCGTGCCGTTTTTGTGTAACGCGTGAGGACAATAAAAGGTCTTCCAAGTTTAGTCATCTTGATTAATTGCATAGTAGACCAATGTGGGAGGATGATTGAGAATTAGTTGCCTCATTAATTGCCTTGGAAAAATTTTAATTTATTCTAAAAGTAAACCCTTTTGCGCTGTAATTTATTCCTAAGTGGCGTGACTTAATGATAACTATCAATGGTGGTGTTTTATATATATATATATATGAATGAAAAATGATCTTATAGGACCCTCCCCTACTCATCTGTGTAGGACCTTAAAGGATCACCATTAAATTTGGTAACGGATCTTTCAAAAAGTTAAATCTCACACTCATGTGATAAGTTTTAAAGATCTATACCAAATTTAATAATGATCCTTTGAGATGTGTGTGAGGGGGGCCTATAGGATTCATTAGTATATATATATATATATATATATATATATATATATATATATATATATATATATTATTAATTAA